TGTGACAGACGTTGCACTTACATAACAAAAAGGAAACATCAGATGCTCAGTTATCACTGAGTGGGTCGGGAGGAAAACACGTGTCCAGAGCCCAAGCCGCACAGGGACTGAACTTCTCAGACCATTCGAATTGGCGAAAACGAGAATTATGAGCAAAACTGTGTAGACTAATAGATGGAAGCTTATTTCGAGGGGTTTAGTGACTTGCCCAAAATAATACTGATGGTAAAAAAACAAACAAACAAACAAACAAAAAGTGTCCTCAGGCTGGAATCCATGTCTTTTTACATTGAGTCCAGTGTTTTTCTCTAATCCATTAACGTCCCAGCGTAGAGACTGATTTATGCCAAATTCATAGTTTCTTTTGATATCTGCCAATGAATCATCAAATAAGTTGTGTCTTGCATATATTGACATTCTTTCTTTTTAAGCCCAATTTTCTCAATCTCTTTGAACAAAGGCAGACTTATATTTGCCTGGGCTTTTCTTTGGAGCCCTTAGCTAAGTGCTTCTAAAAGGTCCTCGTGTTGAATTGATCTGTGCTTGATGTTCTACCAATACTTTGAACTCTTACGTGTTGACAGAGTTTAAATGTGAATTAAACAAGTGCTCTTTCTATTAATAGAAAGGATGTATATGTTTTTTATCAGCTGGCAGACGAATAAAATCACCTCGTTTGCAGGCAGTCAAGACGACGTGGGTAGTGCGCAGCTCTTCAGGTTGGTACTTCCCACGACCGTCTGTATAACAGTGTGATTCATTCAGGGACACCTAAATCCAGATGCTATTTGAACTCTAGGTCTTGTATAGATTTTCTCATTCAGTGGCACTCGCGTGGAAATTTGACCACACCACCCCATCAGTCAAGTGGCTTTTACTGGGCCAATTCTTGTCTCTGTACCACATTCTTTGGAAGGTGCTTCACCCACACCACGTGCTACTCAGTACGAAGGCTGGTATGCTAGATACTTTCCCCACACATACAAGTTATCGGTCAAATGTTAATTTTTATGTTTTGGTGAAGTCTCCAATATCCTGTGTCGCTCGAACTTATTTTAATCGCAAATTGTATCATAGTGGGATGGTAGTGCGTGTATTTATAAAATGAACCTAGTTAGAGATTGTCCTTATCTTCATCCGTAGAAACTTTCGATAACCTATGGTGTTTTCTGATCCTATCCATCAAATTTGCCATACAAGATTTCACTGACTGAAATTTTCCTAATCTTTCATAGAGCATGACCTGATGATTCCATTATCTTTTTTCACTTTGTCATACTCTCCTGCCAAAACAAATAAAACAAAACAAACTAGCAAAAGTTCTCTCTAGGATGATTTTTCCACTTTTAAATGCCTCACACCCCTTTCTGTCCAATCCATCAATCCAAAGAGTCTTTTCTTTCTTTCTTTCTTTCTTTCTTTCTTTCTTTCTTTCTTTCCTTCTTTCTTTCTTTTTTAATGTTTATTTATTTATTTTGAGAGAGAGAAGGAGAGAGAGTGTGTGTGTGCGTGAGCAGGAGAGGTGCAGAGGGAGAGAATCCCGAGCTGGCTCCACACTGTCAGTGAAGAGCTTGTCACAGGGTTTGATCTCACAACTGTGAGATCATGACCTGAGGCGAAATCAAGAATGCAATGCTTAACCAACTGAACCCCCCGGGCACGCCGAGAGTCTTTTCTTTCTTGCCTACAATTGATTTGTTTCCCTCTTTCAAGGTTTTTCTCTAGTATCTCAGAATTCAAAGATTCTCATAACCAACAATACTGTTCATGTGTTTTAAATACACTCTTCTTTGCGTAAGAAAGTACATTTATACATTGAATCATATATACTGGCCAGTGTCAAGAAATAAATTAACATTTTCATAACACAATACTCCCTAGCTTTGTGACTTTGGGCAAGTAACTAACATTCTGGTCTCTAACGTTCTCGTCTGAAAAATTATGTAAACGTATATAATAAAAAGAATTAAATACAAATTATAATAAAAATATAACAAAAAAAACAACAAAAAGAATTATCTTTTTAAAATTGAATTCTTTTTAAAGAATTTTTCTTTTTAAAAAGAAATAAAAATATTGCTGGTATTCTGTTTCTCTCCGTCATTTGTCTTTGAAAAGGATCTGTTAAGGAAAACAGTACCTCGCAATTTTATTCCCTAATAGCTGTGTGACAGAGAATAACTCAATATATTCTTTTCTAGAATTTGTTATCACAAATGAAAGTAATTTGAAAAAAATTTTTTGGTCGAAGATAAAATTTGTCATTTTCTTGAGGATTTTTATGACTCTCTGGTAGTAAGAATGGAGCTGGATATTTTGCAAAATAAATAAATCCTGACACGAACTACAAAAATAAGAAAAAAAAAACCTTTTTTTAAAAAAAATTTTTTATTTACAAAAAAAACCTTCATATGTTCAGCTTAAAAGTAGTTCTGTGTCATTAAAATGCATCCCAGTTAATATTATATAGCATTAGAAAACTCCACCATATTCTTGAATAATCCACATCTGGAAATTGGCTGCACACTGAAAATGACATTTATACTGATTTCGGCTGGAATCGTTTGTATTTGTTCTGTGGCTTGGGAATCTCTCCATCCAGTGAAGGAGCACAGAGCTGACTTTCTCCTGGTCATTTCTGTAATACACACACCTCTCTCTCATAGCCACAGCACACTTTAACTAGATGACTTGGTTTTTGTTTTTTTTGTTTTTTTGTTTTTGTATCTTGATCACATTGAGATACGTGGCACTTACTATTTCAAGGACATTTTGTATACAACAGACAAATTCTAAATCAGAGTGATTACTTGAAAAATATTTTAGAAACCAAAATAGACCATCACTTTCTAGACTTTTCTTTTAAATATTTTTTTAATGTTTATTTATTTTTGAGAGAGTGTGAGCAGGGGAGGGGCAGAGTGAGAGAGAGAGGGAGACACAGAATCTGAAACAGGTTCCAGGCTCTGAGCTGTCAGCACAAAGCCCACCTGGGGCTCAAACTCACAAACTGGGAGATCATGACCTGAGCCAAAGTCGGATGCTAAACCGACTGAGCCTGCCAGGTGCTCCTACACTTTTCTTTTAAATAAAAGTTACTTACGTGGTCTATCTACTAACTATACACTAACTTAATCTTGCTGTGGCCCCAGCTCAAATCTCAGGTATGCCAATGAAACCTTGCTCTTGTTTGGGTTCCTGTTATGAATACTTAAAGCACATGTCGTTCATTGCCATAAGTGCCCCTCAGTATGACTCTATTGTCCACAGAGAAAATGTTAGGTCCTGAAGTACATGAACTATTTATGTGTCCTCGACATGAGCAAAGCACCAGCCAGACTGTAATACTTCTCCCCAATATATAAATTTAATAAAATTATATCACACAAAAATTACTTCGGACAAATTAGTCTTGAGCAACCCAAACCGATAAGTGGAGAAAAAGAACAATTAACATAAACAATTTGCTTTTATCAATTTGACCACATAACTTTGTATTCAGTTGGCATGTAATCACTACTTACTGATTTGCCGTGAAAGACCTTTGCTCCTTTCTGATTCTATGTTTGCCAACATGCAGTTTATATTTATCATGCATTTTGTGATATTACTAGTCATACAAAAGGACTGTATGAGAATTGAACTCATTTGAAAATGACAAATAGTTTATACTAGATCATCATGTGAAAGTAAATGGCTTCCATTATTTTATAAAATGACTTTAACGGGGAAGATGGTAGAGGTTTGCATCTATGGATTATGGTCTGATAATCACAAACCTGAGCCTGAGAGAGTTAGCAAACTGCTTTTCTGATATTATTTAAATAACAAAGAATTTTATGCTATCCTGTCTCAAATTTAAGAATGTGGAGTCACTGTATTCTGAGGTTTCTTCTCAACAGAACTCACTGGAAATTCAAGGGATACTGGAAACTATAATTTTGCTGTAGCTTGAATTTGCCCAGATTAAAGGCAGGACAAACTTCAGAACAAACTTTCCTCTGGCTAAATTTCAGTACGACTCTAGGCCAAATACTTTTTTTTTTCCTCTGTAAAATAATTTTTTAAAAAAAGTTTTTTTAAAATAAAAAAGTTGTTGTTTTCATTGAAAATGATTTTCATTCATCTTCTCATAATTATGACAAATTTCTCTAATCTGACATTTTTAGGCATTTTGAACTCTAAGCCTTTTCGTGAAAATTTCGTTTCATTTTTATTTTTCAAAACCCTCTAAATCACCTAGAATTAGGACTGAGGATTAAAGAATTTCCCACCACAGCCATCAATAGATCTGTTTAATGTCAACAAACAAGCAATGGATGAATGGATAAAATGACTTTGACAAATTCTTTTATTTACAGGCAATAAAAGATAGAGACATTGCCTTTTAGTTCGATGAATATTTATATCCTTAACATAAAGTGAAGTCGTGGAAACATGCCCATCTGTTTATTTTTTAAAATCTGTGGTGTCAACCGTTTGGAAGTTTCCAGTAAAAAAAAAAAGGAATGAAAGCATTCTTGTGGGATGTAGTCAAATCAAGGAATTCTATCCAAATGTTGGAAACAGACAAGAATTTTGGCATATTTGCCAGAAAAGTTTGTATCAAGCTTTTCATTTTTATAATTTAAAAACACCCTTTTAACTGATCTATACGTATCGATATGTGTGTGTGAATGTGTGTGTGTGTGTGTGTGTGTGTGTGTGTGTGTGTGTGTATATATATATATATATATAATTAGAAGCAAAGTACTAAGGAGATTCCATGTTGTTTAATAGTTGTGAAAGCCTAGATGACATGAAACACAATTTAGAAGCTGACAGTATGGATTAGCCACCAGCATGAGAGGAAGGTATTGAAATGGGGAAGGATCTCCCTTATCGGAGTATCACTTACTGGGACTTGGCTAGGAACGTAACACTAGAGAATAGCAAAAAAGCACGTTTGGTTGTTCTTTCTTTGTTCCTTTTTGCCTGTGTCCCATCCTGCTCTACCCCATCTGGGTCTTAGAAGGTTAATTTTTGAAAACTGCCTCTCTGTGGCTCCCTTGCCAGCCAGCCTCTGCTTAGAAGCAGCCAGTGGACTGAGAAATGAAGGCAAAAGGAGAGTAAGTGGCCGCTTCTCCCTTCTCCCTCCCTCTATAGGCACCAGTCCTAGGTAGTAAGCACGGTCCTCTTCCCCACCAGGAAACCCCTCCTTTGCAATTCTAATTCTCAGTGAACTCTGATAACACCATTTCTTCCTCTTGTCTCTTTAGTCCTATGGGTGGAAACAACTTTCCACTGTTGCTAGTCTCTGGGTGCCCCAGTACCCCTTGTTTGTTCCTTTTACATGTCCCCACATGTGATCAGGACCACAATCCATAAAAATAACTGTAGCGTTTATTTTTTAAATTTTATTTAAATCCAAGTTAGTTAACATAGAGTGTAATAATGGTTTCAAGAGCAGAATTTAGTGATTCATCACTTACATATAACACCCAGGGCTCATCCCAACAAGTGCCCTCCTTAATACCCATCACCCATTTAACCCGTCCCCCACCCACCTCCTTCCAGCAACCCTCATTTTATTCTGTGTATTTAAGAGTCTCTTATGGTTTGCCTCCCTCCCTGTTTTTATCTTGTTTTTCTTTCCCTTCCCTTAAGTTCATCTGTTTTGTTTCTTAAGTTCCACATATGAGTGAAATTATATATTTATCTTTGTCTGACTGACTTATTTTGCTTAGCATAACACAGTCTAGTTTAATCCATGTTGTTGCAAATCACAATATTTCATTCTTTTTGATTGCCAAGTAACATTACATTGTGTATACATATCATATCTTCTTTATTCATTTGTCAGTTATTAACATTTGGGCTCTTTCCATAATTTGGCTATTATTGATAGTACTTTTTTTTTTAATTTTTTTAACTTTATTTATTTTTGAGAGAGAGAGACAGAGTGTGAGTGGGGGAGGAGCGGAGAGAGAGGGAGACACAGAATCTGAAGCAGGCTCCAGGCTCTGAGCTGTCAGCACACAGCCCGATGGGGGGCTCGAACTCACGAACCCTGAGATCATGACCTGAGCTGAAGTCGGATGCTTACCGACTGAGCCACCCAGGCACCCCGATAGTACTTCTATAAACATTGGGGTGCATGTGCCCCTTCAAATCAGCATTTTAAAATCTTTTGGATACATACCTAGTAGTGCAATTGCTGTGTTATAGGGTGGTTCTATTTTTAACTTTTTGAGGAATTTCCATACTTTTTCCAGAGTGGCTGAACAGTTTGCATTCCCACCAGCAGTGCAAAAGGGTTCCTCTTTCTCCACATCCTCACCAACATCTGTTGTTCTCTGAGTTTGTTAATGTTAGCCATTCTGACAGATGTGAGGTAGTTTCTCATTGTGGTTTTAATTTGTATTTCCTCTATGATCAGTGATGTTGAGCATCTCTTCATGTCTGTTAGACATCTGGATACCTTCTTTGGGAAAGTGTCTGTTCACGGGTGCCTGGGTGGCTCAGTCAGTTGAGCATCCGACTTCAGCTCAGGTCATGATCTCACAGCTCCTGAGTTCAAGCCCTGTGTCAGGCTCTGTGCTGACAGCTCGAAGCCTGGAGCCTGCTTCGGATTCTGTGTCTCCCTCTCTCTCTGCCCCTAACCCACTTGCATTCTGTCTCTGTCTCTCTCAAAAATAAATAAACATTGAAAAAAAAAAGTGTCTGTTCATATCTTTTGCCCATTTCTTCACTAGATTATTTGTTTCTTGGGATTTAAAAGTAGATATGGTCACAATATGAGAAGCAAAGTTGTGCTTTGTTTATTGTCTCATGGACTGTGGGAATATGATGAATTATTAAGTCACTTAGATAAGTATTCATTATGAATATTAAAAACTAATTCATTTTCATTACTGGATAAATAATACATAACATAGAAAAGTTAAATAGAAAAGGAAGTAATAATTAACCTTACTGATTGATTACAGTGTGTTAGCTGCATCCCCATGAGGTAGGCACTGTTATCGTCCCATTTTAAAATACAGGACTCAAACTATTGCCAGGTGAAATGACTCATATAAGGCTATACAACAATGGAATGGCTGAAGGAGAAGTTGAACTGAGGCAGATTGACTCTCAAGTTTTCACTCTGAATCACTAAACACTAGTACCTCTTAGAGTGGAATGAAGAAATGAGAGGAAATGGCATTTATTATCTACTATGTTCCAGGGAGTGCACGAGATGCTTCCATATGTACTACCTCAGAACCACCCTTTCAGAAATAGGTGACACTGTCAATCATTCTGTTACGGGAAAGTCTGTCTTTCCTGAGTTTCTGTGACACCACACCCTACTCTGGTTTTCCTCCTCTTTTCTGGCTATTCTTTCATTTTCGTTTGCTTTCTCTTTCTTCTCTAGTCAACCTTTAAATGTGCAAGCATTTTGAGTTTCCTTCTTGCTTTTGTTCTTCCTGGTTGGGTTCATCTAATGAAGCGGCTTTAAAATGCCAGTGATATGCAGATAACTTTGGAGTGCGTGGGTGGCTCAGTCGGTTCAGCATCAGGCTCTTGATTTCCGCTGAGGTCATGATATCGCAGTTTGTGAGATCAAGCCCTAGGTCAGGCTCCACACTGCCCCTTCTCTGCCCCTCCCTCACTCATGCCTCTGTGTGTGTGTGTGTGTGTGTGTGTGTGTGTGTGTGTGCACGTGCACACATGTACTCTCTCTCTCTCTCTCTCTCTCTTTAAAAATACATAAACTTTAAAAAAATAAAATGCCAGTGATATGCAGATGACTTTGATGTTTCTATTTCTAATTCGTATCCTCTCCTAAACGTTAACCTGTATGTCCAACCGCCTCCTGGGCATCTCCCTTTGGGTGTCCAGTAAGCATCACAGACTTAAGACAGCCAAGTGACAATGCTTGATTCATTTCTTCAGCCTGCTTCTCTCTTTGTCATCTCCATTTCCTTAAATAGCACGATTATCTATTCCAACTCATCAAGTTAAACATTGAGGAATTATCCTGGAATATTCATGCTTTCCTTCCCCTAATATCAATGCCTTCAGTCAGCTCTCTATGCAGAGATCCAAGTCTCTCCCTGCCCACAACCATCATCTTTGGATCCCTTCACTGTGATAGTTTCTTCACTGATCATGCTGTTGCCAATCTTTCTCTCCTTCAAGGCTGTCTACTCATGGCTGCCAAAATGATGATTTTAGGCATGTCATGCCACTTTACTGCTTAAACCTCTTTATTGGTTTCCAGACAAAATGCATTCTGACTTCTTGCATAGGATCAAAACCTTACTTAAGCTGGTTTCTGTTGAATGAATGGATCCTATTAGCTACTCTACCCCCTTGAAAAGATGGTACATTAATTTATTTATTCTTGTAAATTATATACACACCCATTTTTTTCTCTCAAGGAATATAAACTTCTTGGTCAGGACTGGATATTGTCATAAACTCTGTGTTGATAGATAGAAGACAAAGACAGCAGTTTTGTTCAAAACCTAGTAACAATTTTTCCTTGGCTTATCCCTGAACAGTTCCCAAAGAGCTCTTAAGTATAAAATGAAAGGAAGGCAGACATTTCATATCAATGTTTAAAGTGAATTTGTGGAAGAATACGCTTTTTATTGCCATCGTCTTAATTCAACATTGTTACATAATGACGTTATTTAACAATAACAATGTTGGTAATTTTTAATCAGTTGGGGAATTTATAATTTAAAAAACCCATACCAAAGAATTGAATCATTTACACATATGGTTATGATCAATATTCTCCTTATAAAAAATAATTTCCTATCAAGTGGTTTTGATTCACACTGGGAGGAAAGAACACAAAGATTTGTGTTAATAATTCAGTGATTGACATGCAACATGATACATGCATTCTACTAAACCAGACATCCAAGTGATATGCCTCCATAGGGATTCCATCTTGTTCATGGTAAGAAAGAAATACATTATGATTTCTACTTTGGATAATGACTCTGAGGAGTGCCTGGGTAACTCAGTTGGTTAAGTGTCCCGACTTCAGCTCAGGTCATGATCTTGCAGTTCCTGAATTTGAGCCCCGTGTGGGGCTCTGTGCTGACAGCTCAGAGCCTAGAGTCCACTTTGGATTCTGTGTCTCCCTCTCTCTCTGCCCCTTCCCTGCTTGTACTCTCTCTTTCTCTCTCTCTGTGTCTCTCTCAAAAGTAAATAAACATTTAAAATTTTTTCAAAAAATAATGACTCTGACTTTGCCAGAAATTTAGTTTACTGCACAACTTGCTGCTTTGACAATGGTGAGTGTATTAATATGTTGTTCCAAGTTAATCTTTTGTACAACTATTTCCTTTTTGTGCCCAAAGAAATCACAAAGGGAATATCTGATCCTGTTTATTCCAAATAAGTAATGAATCAAGCTTTATTTTCTTTCTTGCCTTGTAAAACTATTGCCAAAAGAAATTACTACCAGTAAGAAGTAAGGAAATTTGGTCCTTAAAACAATTCAAATTGAAGACTATGTTAGATTTTACTTAGGTTTTTATTCCAACGTGCCAAGTTGATATCTTCATCTACATTCACTCAGGGACACTTTCAATAATAAGTATTTTTATATTTTTAAAAATAAAGATACAGATGCTATGGTAAAAATGTGCAAATATATAGACAGTGACCATAATTTTATGGGAGTGACTCTCTTACATGACTTATAAAGTGATCCTGATGAAAATTCCCAGGAAGTGTTTCAAAAATGTCTTGAGCAATAGAAACATCATTGTATGACATCTCCTCCAATGACTGTTATGGAAGACAGCAGCTATTTCTATGTGTATATTCTGCTAAAATTGTAATTTTTTAAATTATATCTAATGCTTGATCATTTTTCCCTTTGTCCTTAACATGACAGCCATTTGGCTCTGCCCTACTTTTCTGTACTTCTCAAATGTTTTTTTAATGAGATATATCACAATCAGTAATGATTCATGTGGTTGTTTGCTTTTGGATAATTTCCTCTCCTTCCTCTGATAAACTCTGAAATAGATTTGAGAACATTGAGTAATGGCAGAATTGGATATGAACCAAGACCAATTAGATGTTTAAAAATTATAGTGCTGCCAATCACATAGGATTGATCTTTCCTGGGAGTATATGCAGCTGAAAATATCCCCAAAATGAAGTTATCTCCTTTTAGTCCCTGTAATTCCTATGTAAACATTACTGAAGTCTTAACAACGCATATGTAAGGAATGAGATAGTAACTACTATTAAGCACGACTTTCATAACCCAAATTCATTTATGAGATGTTCAAGGCTGTCCTCTACTATGACCTGAAGGGAAAAGGGAAAGGCCTTAGTTTTTTGTGGGTGGTGATTAAAAATCAAAACACAAAAAACACAGGTCTTAGGGAAATGGTGAGGCCCAACACTGAGAAGGCCAGCAGAGTCATGGCAGAGTGTTTCTGTTTTCAGTTGAGGAGAGTTGATCCTCTGACTGACAAAGACTCTCTCCTTGATCAAACTTCCGTCAGGTTCCTTTAAGCCCCCTTCTCAACTAGGCCTCATCCTTGGACCTTGTCCTTGGGCCTACCTAGCCCAGTTTTTGCAAGAATCCTGCTAGGTCAATTTACGTAGAGTCCCCAGCCCTGGGATCTGACCACGCTTGATATCTAATCATATTCTTCATCCCTTTCCATCCCTCAGATGACAGCTAATTATCCTGGCCTGTCTTCAGCAAGAATCCCCCCTACCTTGATGTCTTCTCTTAGTGATTTTTCATCCACCAATCCCCCTCATCTACTCGTTGGCTATAAATCCCCAGTGTTCTAGCTGTACGTGGAATTGAGTCCAGTCCTAGACTGAAGGCTCTTTTCTGCTGTTGCAGCAGTCCCTGAATAACATCTGTTTTTATCACTTTCAACTTCTATCTGGCTCTGTATTTTCTGAAGATCTCATGTATCTTTGAAAAGAAGGTGGGACAATATGTTGCTAGTAATGAGTAAGAGTGAGAGAGTGGCAGAAGAACCAAAAGAGAGAGGAAGGTCTGTTGCTGTTCACCAAGCCAAAGGTCAAATATACTCCAAGTGTCTGTGCCACAAATGAATGGAACCTCTCCGAGTTCCTCCACAGGGATGGAGTTCTTAGTTTCACCTTTGCAGACTCCTTTCCTCCACGCTTTACAACCAGTTGGTCATTGGTCTTTACTCTTTACCCTGCGGCTTTATTTTACCATGTTTTTTCACTTACGTTAGTCTTTCCACCTCTTAAAAATAATTGCTACCCTTGTGATGCAATCCCTTTCCACCAGCATTTAATACAGTTAGTTAGAATTTGTCAAAGCTTGAACTGATGTCATCTTTTTCCTTTTTAATAGGGAATCATAAAAATAATAAACTTTGTGATTTTAATTATTTAATGTTTATTTTGAGAGAGAGAGAGAGAGAAAATGAGTGGGGGAGAGAGAGAGAGGGAGACACAGAATCCAAAGCAGGCTCCAGGTTCTGAGCTGTCAGCACAGAGCCCAACGCGGGGCTTGAACTCATGAACCGTGAGATCCTGACCTGAGCCATGGTTGGATGCTTAACGAACTGAGCCACCCAGGAACTCCTGTGATTTTAATTTGCAAATGTAATTTGCAATTTGTAATTTTTTATTTACATTCAATTTGAATGTAATTTTTTGTTTCCCTCGTGACTTCTCTTGCCATATTTCTCCTTGGCTTCAGGATCTATTCCTTCCCGGCTTCTGCATGGACTTTCCTGGTTACTTTAGTTCAAAACACAACAGGATTTATCTCATTTTCTATTGCCTCTCTAATTGCTTCTCTGGATGACTTCTAATTGTTTCTCTAGATAACTTCTCCCATTTCTTCTTTCCTGCCCAGTAGACTCAGATGGATTTCCTTCTGCCTGTTCTCGGCAGCAAGGGTTACATTCCCCAAAGAGATGACCTATAACTTTCATAAAGTCTTTCCTTTGCCTTTTTGTTTTGCCACCGCCTGAAAAACATCTTAATTTTCCTTTTCTCTTCAAAAGCCTTTTCATCCTGTGTTCCTTTGTCTTAATGGCTTTTGGGTATCCCCTACATTATGCAGATGTTAACACTCAAGTTTTTAAGCTCCCCGTTCATTCTAAGTCATTGAAGCTGAACCAGCTGCATCTGTCTCCATTCATTTTGATCTATTACTGAAAAGTTCACTCAAACATGTTCTTCTCTACACAAATTTTGTGCACCACACTCTTTGCCTTACTTTTTAAAGCAAGTTGCTTCCCAATACAGATTATCCGAAGTTTTTTTCCAATCTGGGGGGGCCTTCCCTGTCTTATTTATTACTACCCCAAATTCATATCCCTTATCCAAATTCCAAATTAGAGTCTTATTGTAATGTCTAGTATGTCAGAAAGACTCTTAACCATATATCACAGGGCCACTTCTTTTCATTATCTCTCTAATTACTATGGAAGCCATAACCTTCTACTTTGCTACTCAAAGTGTGGTACCTTGACCAGCGCTATCACCTGGGAGCTTGTTAGAAATGTTAGTGTTCAAACTTGACCCACAGACTTTTTTGAATTATAACCTGCATTCTAACAAATGTCTAGGTAATATGTATTCACAGTAAAGTCTAAGAAACACCAGTGTGCTGCGATTCATAAACTTGAGGGTACATGAGAATCATTTGAGTGAACTCAAATATTTTGTGATTGGAACCCAAATAATATTGTCTCAAAACATCCTAGCTTCTCTTGGAATTCACAAATAGCGATCGCAGTTACTATGCGCTTTTTCCTTATTCAAATTTACCACTCTCCTTCCCAGCATGCATCGTGGTCACACAGATAAACTTCTTCCCACGACCGTGGTCAAGATAAGACAATTATTAATGAACATTTTACTAATGGACCGTTTACTAATTTTACTAATGGACAATTGAAAAAAAAAGAAATTATATTATTAAATTATATTCTTACGGTTACCCAGCTAATCACAAGTAGATTGAACATATGTACTCAAAATCCTTAACCCTAATTTTTTGTTTCCCTCATGACTTGGTCTAAAATTTGGGCTATCACCATGTTGTTGTTTGCCGAATGAATATACAATGCTATAAAGGTTATTTTTGTTCCATTTCTCTAAATATTTTCTTTAATATTAAGACACTTAGGTTCTAAATTATTGTTAAAGATACATTTGGAAATATAATTATATCTGTAACATTCCACTAAGTATACCTTGGGGGAGAATAATCAAAAGAAATTAAAGTTTTAGAAATCGTATGTAAAGAGCATTCAGTATTTCTTTTAGAGATGCACAGAGGTTGGTGATAAAATTTCACGAGACAAAATATAGTAAGTTTACACATCTTGTGGAAAAGATTGCCACAACCGTCCGGTGGTACGTGCCGTCCTCTTTAAACTTTTACTGTCCCTCCCCCCAGCCATTCGTCTTGAGATTCTTTCTTCCTAACCCACCCATTAGCTGGTTATTTTTCTCTTTATATCCAGGCAAACGTTATCATTTCTCCTCTTCCTCTATTATAAATCTCTCTAAAATGTATTTTGGAGGGGTATGGAAGAAACGGAAAGCACATTGAGGTACCTTAAAAGCTTTTTGAACGTTCACAAAAAATTAAGCACTACTCATTTTCACAGTGAAAGTGGAGTGACAGCCTAATTTGAGAGTCTCAACGAGTGTCCCTAAATAATTAGCTATGTTTTATAATATACTCGAATGCACAATAAATCTGTTAGCTAGTGGTTTGGGCATGTAATTAGGAGATGAACATTGTAGCTGAAATCAAACTATGTGAATGTTACACAATTTAAAATTCAGTTAAAATACCTCATTATATATTTTTTTCGTTTCTCTGTTGCTCTTGAAACCTTAATTATTGACACTGTATGACTTAAAATGTGGAAATAAACGTTATGGATGAAATCCGAATCAGAGAGGCAATATGCAGAATGAATGTAAAATTTTGGGAGCTTATGAACTTTGAATCTTGTACTTACTTGTGAACTTGGATACATAATAGAGTGATGCCAATAAATGACCTAGGCTTTCTAAGTATCAGATTCCTTACCTGAAATGTATACGTATGAGGTGATTTTTAAATCTTTCTTTCTCTTTTCATATATACATATATTCTACCATACTACCTATAAAAGTGTATTCTTTAGCAGGCTATATACCATGATTATAATAGATAAATCATAGTTACAAAGTAAGAGAAAGAATATCACAAATTGGGCAGCAGAATTTGCACTTTGAACAGAAATTCCCTAACATGAGAGGTTTCTCTAAGAACTCCTGGAGTAAAACCAACTTTTTTTTTTTTTTTAATTTTTTTTTTCAACGTTTATTTATTTTTGGGACAGAGAGAGACAGAGCATGAACGGGGGAGGGGCAGAGAGAGAGGGAGACACAGAATCGGAAACAGGCTCCAGGCTCTGAGCCATCAGCCCAGAGCCCGACGCGGGGCTCGAACTCACGGACCGCGAGATCGTGACCTGGCTGAAGTCGGACGCTTAACCGACTGCGCCACCCAGGTGCCCCTAAAACCAACTTTTGAGTGGAAAACAAAATTCCACCTTGATTTAGCAGTAGTGAAAGGAGTCAAAGGTTTGAGACATTTTGCAGTCTGGAAACCCAATTTTCAATTTTTAAGAGTAGAATGTTTGGTAATACTATTTAGTCCACAATTGAAATGAGGGAAATAGATTTCATTTTCCACTGAATCTTAACAGAGATTTATGGGAGGATGTCTTTTGAATAAAATAACAGAGACATCTCTCTGATTCATTTCCTGATCTGACTTCATCAAGTTTTAACAAGGGTCTTTATGGAATATTACAACACCTGATTATTGTGGAGGAGCTGGGTTTATTCTGTCATCCCCAAGGCCCCTCAAATAAGTACACATGTCAGAGACTGAATCCAATATTTGGTATCAGGTGATTATCCCTGACCTTGAAGAACTCATGATTTAAGGTGGGTGCCATGTATATATAGTCAGATGGTTAAAATACAATCTGATACATACTAAAGTAGAACTCCAAACAGTACAATGGAAGGTGCCTGGACGGCTGGGTCGGTTAAGCGTCCAACTCCTGGTTTCAGCTCAGCTAATGATCTCACGGTTTATGGGTTCAAGCCCCACATTGGGCTCTGCACTGACAGTGCACACTCCCTCTCTTTCTGCCCCTCCCTTGCCCTCATGCTCTCTCTCTCAAAATAAATAAATAAACTTAAAAAAATTTTTTTTAAAGAAGACAAAAATGAAAAACAGCTATACGCCTAAAGGATTTAGGAAGGCTTCAGAGCTTTTGCCACTTGAGTAGAGTCTAAAGGGATGCATGGGAATCCACCACCCAGAACAGGGTCAGAAGGATCTTCCTGCAAAGGAAATGGTATCTCCAAATGCAAGAAGCTATGGCAAAGTCTGTGGCTTTGGTGGTGGGCAATGCTGGCAGAATAGTGGTGTCAAGGTCAGAATGATGTGCAGAAATTAATGGAGAGATATGTGTAACATATTAAGACTTTCAGCCCTTTTCTTGTAGTATTGAAGAAAAAACATCGAAGTTCTTTTTGGAGGAAATTGAGAAGCTTGGATTTTTTTGGTTTTCAAAAAATAACTTTGGCAAAAGTGTGATGGAGGTTGAGAAAGACTAGAGGTACAATGGTCAAAGGGAAGGCCACTATATTAATCAGAAGAGATGTGAAAATAACTAAAGAAAGATGGTGGTCATTGGGAAGGAGGAAGAGAGCAGGGTTTAAACAGGACTCTTCAACACTGAATGCTGAAGAGGGAGTGGTATAAGGAAAATTTTTAGATGGAATTTTACTAGCTTAAACTATCTGGGTAGCATCTGGAGAGCCATAAAAAGAGTTTGTGCCTGGGGCGCCTGGGTGGCGCAGTCG